GTCTGAGCTTTTTCATCAAATAATTGATTTGGACCCATCACAACTCTTAGCTTACCAATCTTAGGGTCAAACACAAGCTAAAAAAATTGGAAAATGTATGAACCAAAAGCTGAATGAGAAGGATCTCCCTTAGGTTGTCGATCAATTTCCTACGAGATTTACTATCGTGTTACTTGGTATTTATAAAATAAATTCTTGATTTCATTGCAATCAGCACATTTTGTACATTAACCCTTTTTTAAAAAAATGAAATCTTCATCTCTTTTCTGTTCATTGCAGTCTTAAACAGCAACTGCAATACGAAATGATACTCGATGGACAAAAAAACATTGCTAGCTTTCAACGAGATAAAGTGCAAGGTAAGACTTTATTTTTGAATTTAAACAAATTTTACAACAAAAAATATAACAAATTTTCGTGTATCTTAACTGGTCGTCTGGTATACTTCCTACTTTTTTGTTATAAAATTCTCTGAAAAGTCGAGTAGAGAAAACTTAAGAAAACTCTCACAGAAATATTGTTTTTTTTAAACACTAATACTGGCAAAGTTTCTATAAGAAAACGTTTTAATGCACAATTAAAATGTCAAAACAATTTCAGCCGTAGTTTGTTGAGAGTTTTTAAAAAATCAAACTGGTCAATAAATCCATTTAAAAAAGAACGTAAAACAGAGATTTATCAAAAAAATCTGTTTTAATTTGAGATGCTCATTGCTTTCTTTGTTTAACAAATAGATAACATCTAACCGTTGTCTGTACAGTTATACATACAAGGATATGACGTCATTTGTGATAAGACTATAAAAGTGGCAACGAGTCATTAGGCTTAGTTTTTATCAAAGAAAGTCTTACCCAAGTATCTATAACAGCATAGAGGACGGTTAAATGTCATCTATTTGTTTTATATGATAAAATCAAAAAATTCCAAAAGTAAATGGTTAAACAGTTTTCTTTTCTTTGTCTCTCAAAAAAATGGATCGCGGAAAAGTCTTCAGTTTGCAAATACTACGCTTACGTGATCTATACCATTGAAGAAATGCTATTCGCTAGCTTATTAATGTAACAAAATGTGATTGGCTAAAATAATAAACCAGCTGACTGATCAATTTTGTTGAAATTTTGTTAAGGAAGTACACATCAACGTTTAAAAACCGGGTTTTTCTTTTCTTTTTGCTCTTCTTTGTATTTCTAAATTGCATATTTATATTATTGGCACTCAAAACGTGTTAACAATAATACAATTTGTATTGCTCTATAAATTAGGACTTGATCAAAATATTTTTTAAATGAGCACCTCGAATCAAATGTCTAGCACATAAATTTATTATCATTTCATTGCAAGAATATGCTAATTATTAAAACTATATGCAGCATAAACTGCGCAAGAGCAAAAGAAAGTTAGCAATGTTAATCCCTTTTTTGTTGAATGTTTTTCCTGAATTCACAGCAAATACAATGGCAGCTGGTCAAAATATTTACCCTTTCGTTTGTTCCTATTCCGCTTGCTACTTCCGTCAAATGGCTCTGAAAATGTGAGCTACGTGGCATTGTTCCTAACTTTGTTGCTACTAAAGAAAAGAAACATTGAAAGGTAGATAGTTTTAGTAAACGTTTATCATATAATTCATTTTGACGTGCAAAGTAATAAAATGCTACTTAAAATCTTATTAAAGGTTATGATAAGCAGATTTATAGGAAAAGCAGATTTTTGTTGCAAGTCAAATGTTATTGCTTATTAATTTTAATTTAATACAAAATTATGAAGAATAAACACTGCTTCTACTACCCATATTTCAAAAATTTTACAAACTAATAATCATAGAACTGTATTAGATTTTTTTCAACATACTATTATAATCGATGACTTAGTATGAGCAAAATAATCACTGATCATTGAAAGTTTATTTATTAATAATTATAGTTAGTTTCTAGGTTATTGATTTCCAAATTATGACGTAGATTGGCTTTACATTTGCCAAAAGTTTGCAAAATGTTTTCATGTAAAAGCCCATTAAAGCTTCTTTTACCTTCTTTTTGACATTAAAGAATTCATGTAATAAAGCCCCAAATTTGTATATTTACCTTCTAATAAAATAAGCATACCTTTTATTTTTTCCGTATGAACGTGTAAATTTGAAGGGGATTCAGCATCAGCAGTATCACCAGACTTTATTTCTTTAAAAAAGATATAAAAGTAGAGCAGGTGAACCATAGCGTAAAATAGAAGGGGGTTTTTTATGATAAATATATTTCTAGGTGAAGACTGAGTTAACTGGAGTTTATAAAGTTTACTGGATTAAAAAAAAACAACCCAAGAATCAATTCTTCAATTAAATTATTTGAATTTAGTTACATGTTCCTTCCAGGAACAAAGATACAGATCAATCTAGGCTTTTAAAATAATAAAGAAACTTTTAAAATCCAAGTATTGTAAATCTGGTATTTTTCTTGAAATATTTAAAATAAAAATACTGAAAAAATGTTAAACTTTATTTATATTTTACTTTTTGCTTAAGTTTTCTTGTTCTAGCCTTTTAGCTATGACAAAAAGCAAGAACAATTTTAAATAGAGTACTTGAGATTTTTTTAAGCATACGTAAATAAAGCATTAGATGGAAAGAAAACGATGAACAGTTTACCAAAAACAAATTTCAGTTGCATATGTCGTTGTTCCTTAGTAGTTCAATTTAGTTTAGTTTTATTTATATGTTTAAATAGATTTAAAATATTTTTGCTCCTAACTAAATGTTGAAGTGCATTACATTGTTCTCGATTTGCATTAAACTTTTAGAAACAAGTCTTTTTATGTATTTTAGGATGGCTCTACAAACGGCTTATATATAAGAGAGCATAACTAGGTAAATGCTCAGAATGGTTAAATGGCCTAAAATAATATCATGATTTTAAATGAATCCCAATTTAACCAGAAACTGCTTTAACTAATTTTATAAAGATTCTTAAAATTTTTTTTTTTTCTGATAAGATCTAGCGAAACATAAGACAAGAAGAATTCATGATTTGTAAACAAGAAAGACTTAAAAATTTTGTCTGAAATTCAAAAAAACTCAAAAGTTAAACTTTAAAACGCTTATATATACTATACTATACAAAAATAAAAAATAACATACCATCACTGTTCGAAGATTTAGTAACAACAACATGATCCAAAGCAACTGATTTTTTTTTAATTGCCTGAGCTTTTTCATCAAATAATTGATTTGTAACCGTCAAAACTCTTAGCTTAGCAGTCTTAGGGTCAAACACAAGCTAAAAAAATTGGAAAATGTATGAACCAAAAGCTGAATGAGAAGGATCTCCTTAGGTTGTCGATCAATTTCCTACGAGATTTACGATCGTGTTAGTTCGTATTTATAAAATAAATTCTTGATTTCATTGCAATCAGCACATATTGTGCATTAACACTTTTTTAAAAAAATGAAATCTTCATCTGTTTTCTGTTCATTGCAGTCTTCAACAGCAACTGCAATACGAAAAAATACTCAATGGAAAAAAAAAGGCTAGCTTTTAACGAGGTGAAAATGCAAGGTAAGACTTTATTGTTGAATTTAAACAAATTTTACGACAAAAAATATCCGTAAAAATATAACAATTTTCCTGTGTCTTAACTGGTCCACTTGTATACTTCCTACTTTTTACTTATAAAATTCGCTAAAAAGTCGAGTAGAGAAAACTTAAGAAAACTCTCACGGAATATTGTTGTTTTTACACACAAATTCTGGCAATCTCTCGATAAGAAAACGTTTTAATGCACAATTAAAATGTCAAAACAATTTCAGCCGTAGTTTGTTGAGAATTTTTAAAAAATCAAACTGGTCAATAAATCAATTTAAAGAAGAACGTAAAACAGAGATTTATCAAAAAAATCTGTTTTAATTTGAGATGCTCATTGCTTTCTTTGTTTAACAAACAGATAACATCTAACTGTTGTCTGTACAGTTATACATACAAGGATATGACGTCATTTGTGATAAGACTATAAAAGTGGAAACGAGTCAGTTGGCTTAGTTTTTACCAAAGAAAGTCTTACCTAAGTTTCTATAACAGCATAGACGAAGGTTAAATGTCATCTATTTGTTTTATAAGATAAAATCAAAAAATTCCCAAAGTAAATGGTTAAACAGTTTTCTTTTCTTGTCTCGCAACACATGGAACACTGAAAAGTACTCAGTTTGCAAGTATCACGCATGATCCAAACGATCGAAGAAATGCTATTGGCTAGCTTAATCACGCGATAAAATGTGATTGGCTAACAAAATAAACCAGCAATGGCTGATCAATTTTGTTTAAAATTTGTCATCGAAGTAAACATCAACGTTTAAAAACCTTGTGTTTCTTTTCTTTTTGCTCAAACTACGTCCACTGCTTTGAATAGGCATTTTTGATATCTTTATTTGCCTATTCAGGGATAAATTCAAGTAAATATTTAAATAATATCGTCGTTCATTTGTCATTTAAAAACAAGCAATCTTCTGTGACAGGGGCGGATTGAAACTACGTCACATTTAGCACGCGACGTAGTTAAATTCTGCACAGCAGCGAAAAAATTAATCAAATTTTAAATGCCCCTAGTTAAAGTAAATAACAACTTTCAAGTGTGTAATGTTGTTTGTTTTGTCGAAAGGACCCAGAGATTTTTTCTATGCGTCGTTTGCAGGTTCGAATCTCGTCTCGGTAGGGTGTAGTTTGTTTCGATGTGTGAATAATGATCATGAATTCTTTATCCTAAAATTAATTAAATTTTTTGTGTCCTCACAACGAAAGCATTAGAAAAATAAACTATTGTCAGTATTAGGGATAGTATTATGATAAATTTGTGCAACAACGTGCATTCACTGGGCAATGTTATTGTTTCCAAGACCTGGATTAAGCATCGGATTAAGAGATCAAGTGGCTAAAAATACTTGTAATTCACTTGCGGGAGAAATACCCATAGCTAACCCGCACAGAGTCAGCACGCCTAAAATTGTGCTGAATTTGGAGACTAAAATCTGTCTCTTGATTTTTTTATTGCCGTTGTGCTGACTAACGAGCCGCCGTTTTTGCTGAAATGTTCAAGCGGTGTTGTGCGAAATTCAGAACAAATTGACATTGTTGATAGCCGAGGTTTTAACCTGAGCTTCAAAACCAACAATATTGATGAGAAGCATGGCATCTTTCACTGACCGAGTCGAAGATGCTTTTACGAGGAAAGATGGGACTTTTATGGGTCAACTCTACGGAGAGATGTTCGATTGCCTGAAAGTCAAAAGCATTGTTACCAGCGATAGTTTTTTGGATCGTCTCGGTGTTGATATTTTCTGAAATATCAATGCCGAATTTTACATACTGCAGACTGCCAAGACAAAGAACACAAATTTGGTTGCCTTAAGGTTAGAAAACTTATGACATGTTATGCATGCATGCTTACACAAGAATATATAAGCAAATATAAATTGACTTGATATGATGCCCGATGCATTTGTCATTTGTGTTTTATTTATGTGATTCAAAACAAACAAATTTCGATCATATTTAAAACGTTTCTATTGATTTATTTCTTGATGTGTTCAATAGTATTCTTAAGATAGGATATACAAAAATAAACTGAAGCATGATATTTGAAATTTACATAACATTATTTCAGATCTGCTACAAATGACAACTCGCTCTATAGTTCATTATCAATTCTGCTTGTTGGTGACAACTTTGTGGTGACGATTTTTAGGCTGATGACCTCTATAGAATTATTTTTATTTTCTGATTATTATGCAAAACATCCATGTTTTTCAAATCTTTTTGAAACTCAGCATAACAAACACTTTGATTCTATCTCAAGCATGGTGGCCATGTCAGTCTCTTCTGAAGCTATTGATAATGCTGGAAGTGGTTGCTCTGTTGCTAAACTGGTCAGGGCAGAAGCTGTGTGAAATGCAAAAGATATGTCATGGACTGTGTTTGTTTGTTTGTTGGCACTCTCTTCAGTTACATCCTGTAGCATTTTTTCTTATTATCCTGACATATACTCTAGTGCTTATAAAGGGAATTTATTATTTAACCAAAGAATTGAACCTTGAATTCCATCTAGGGCTTGTGCTTCCACTAGTAATTATTTGCGAGTTTTGTTTTGCTTTGAAGGTTTAGCTCCTCAAGCAACTGCATTCAAACACAATCATTATGTGCCTTTGATACTTGGTGGGATGGGAAATAAAAGAAAGGGAAGTAGTCACTTGTCACAAGCTAAAATGCCCAGTATACAAACATGGTTGAAGTTTACACCTTCTGGTCCTACTGAGACAACCATGACAACTAAGGCTCATCCATATGGTATATCTCACAGGTAAATTTCCCAGGTTTTGAGAACATAAAAGTATTCTTAAAGATCTTAAGTACTATTCCAGTCACTTCTTGTGAGGGTGAGAGATCGTTCTCTGCTTTGCGAAGATTAAAGATCTATACAAGAAGTACTAAGGCTGCTGACAGGTTAAATGGTCTTGATTTATTGTATATTCATCAGGACATTAATCCAGATATAGAAAAGATTATAGATCTTTTTGCAAAAGACAAAAGAAGAATTGAACTAGCTTTCTAGTTCGGAGTGAAAATTCTTCATGCCTTTTTTAAACCCTTGACTGTAAAGATGACTGCTGCTAACCTCCGTCAATATAAACACAAACAATCCTTCTCAGGACTTTACTTACCTGGACGATTGACATCTACAAACATTTTTTGTTGGCAACTTCATTTGATAAATAGACATAAAATCGTTTGCATAATAATCAGCATATAGGTATGACTAGAGCATTATAAAATGAAATTCCATATAAAAGTTGATGAAGCGTAAGGAATTTTTTTGGGCTAAGTTTGTAATGAACCAGGCCGTCCATGTCGGAAGCCCTCAAAGCATATTTTTCTGCGAGTTTCCTAGGCATGCTGATGAGCTCTGATATTGAGCTAAACGGTAAAAAATCAATGATTTATGAGCAAGAATTTTAGCTTTCCAGTTGTAAATATTTTAGAAAATCAACTGTAAAAACGCAGGAAATAGCGTTTTCTGCAATCCAATTTTAAACTTTTACCGGGGGGGACATGCTCTTGGACCCCCCTATAAAAGTTGCGCTGACAGTGCGACATTGTGCCTAAGTTCATATACGAAGCTGGATCCGCCCCTGTTCTGTGACGTTAATTTATGAGTCGTTTCACTTAGAGATCATAGCTCTCAACCAATGAAATTGCTTAAATTCTTCTGGTTATTATATAAAACTTCCTAGAGCAATGTAATCACAATTTGGAGTAAATATGCGTCATATATTGTATTAAGAACAATTACAGCCAGTAATTACAGCTTATAGTACATTTAGCGTGTTATGTAGGTTTAGGGGACGGGGCGGGTGGCTGAATGGTTAATTGCGTGAGCTGTAAGCCAGACGGCGCGGGTTCAATCCCGGCTCGTGGCACATCTGGCAATGTGTCTGTAAACCTAGCCCGGGTTGACCAAAGCCATGTGAGGGAAATTTGGTAGAGGAAATCCTTGGATGGACTGTATCTGCATCTGCAATGTTGCAGCCTTGTCGCACTGTGTGTCACGCTGATATCAGCGTTGTAGTTGCGTGAAAGGTACGAATGATTGTAGTCTGGTCAGCTGCATTCACTATAATTTAAGTAACCAGGTTGTTCCACTTTGTGGAACCCTCATACGTCGAAATCGACGGAGTCCATTATCCCGAAGAAATGTGGAAATGTCTTTTTTTAGATATGAGAAAAGCAAAGAATATCTTGAAACAAAGAACAATTCAATTGCTAACTGTTGATAAAAATGTACAGAAGATGCAAGTTGCTTTTACCAAGTTGGGTCTATAACTAGGATAACTGCAACTTTCTTAAGCACCAGAATCACGATTCAATACCGCTTTTTCAACACCTGAAGAAAGTCCCCATTAATATAGGAAACTTTCATGAGTGCTTGTTCTTCTGGGGAATAATTCCATGAGGATGTTCATGAGCTTAAAAGATATATTCCCAAACTGCATGCTTTTTAATAAGTGACCTCATAAGAAGACAAGAAATTATGAAATTTGCAAAAATATTCTTGCCATGAAGGTCACTGCTTTAGAGGAATCAAATCATTTTACACTTGCTGTTACGTAATATCTGTTGATGAAAGTGCAAATTCAAGGTAGCAAAAACGTTTTGATTGTTGCTTAATAAATTGTTTTTCTTTCAATGTACTTACTCAGAAATTGAAAAAGAGTTTCTAATGTTTCAAATGTATTCCCTAACATAGATGGAAAACTTAATTTTTGTTACAAATTCTTGCTGTATTAGTGTAAGTTGTCTGGCATATCTACGTATATTATTACATGAATATTACAGAGCAATCTTACACATAGTTACTGTGTGCCTAGGTATATTCTTCACTTGCATGGACATGCGTGATCACTAGGGACGTATTATCTGGTGGTGGCAGAGGGAAGCGCACCTTCCTAAAAAAATTCCCCAGCACCAAACTTAGAAAAATTCTAAAATGGGATTACGTAATGTAGATGATTAAAACGGAACTCCAGCCTTACATAATGTTAGTCTTAAAAGTTCCATTTTAGTACAAAGGTTACTATATTTTGAAATTTTTACATCAGCTATTTTATTTTTGACAAAATCGCGTCTTCAAGTGCGCTATTTGAGCTGTTTTGAGGTTTAGCAGCGTGGGCACAGAAAGCCTCAAACGGTGGGTTTTACAAACAGCTTGGTATCAGTACAAGCAGCAATATAAGGTAGCATATGATTAGCCCGATGACAAACTGTACCACCATATTGCATATAGACTGTTGACAAGATGGTGCTGGGTATCTTGGGTAGAGAAGTAAGAGTCGTCTTGCCATCATGTGCAGTTACTTGCATTAGAGAAACATTTCCTCCGCCTAGCGCTGCAGAGGAATTTCAATTTGAAGGCTTCCACTATGTTGGTTTTGCTATGTTAATATTTAAGAATGAATGTACAAAAGTTGTCTTCACTGATTCTACATCATATTATATGGGCATGGCAAAACCTATCATCACCACTGACATTTTATGCAAATCTAGACTGATGTTCCTTTACAAGTACTTCTTTCCTGGGTGGACATCATTTAGAAATGTTCTTTGGAAGTTTCTCGCCATGATGTACAAGTTCAATCTTCTCAGTTTTGCATGCATTCACAACCTCGGCAAGTAGTTTATCAATGTACTGGTACTCTTTCTTTTCTTTCATTGCTTTTACAACCCATTGCTTCTATGTTTTAGCAAAAATCATTTTGTAACGGCCGCTTACAGACGAATTAGTCGACTAAGTTTTTTTTACTTGACCATGTCACGTCCGTACCAATACAATGATTTCCTTTCAAAGTTTTTTTTTATAACAACGATTTGCCTCTCATGTGAGCATGTCAACAAATATAACATAAATTAGTCTTAACAGTAAATAGGGCGATAAGCTGGTACAAGGTAATGTGCGCAAAAATGCGCCTTTTTTGAAATATCGATTGTCCAAGAAATAAACATTGCGTATGTTTTTTTGTTAAAAGAAGAAAGAATGATTTCTTAATGAATTGCTATGACACTGCTAATGCATCATGAAACTAAGAAAAGGCATAACAATTAAAGGTGGTGGACCAGACCCTTTGCAGCCGAGCGTCGTAGATGGTCGCAATGGTTTGCCAGAAATTTATCGCAAGGGATTGAAAAAACTGGTTATGCAAAAATTCACAATTTTTTCGGTTTTTCGTGATTGTCAACGCATTATGCTGAGTGTATTGTGATTACATGTCAGCACACTTATAGTCGTCTCATTCCCGTATTGTTTTAGAATGGATTTAACTTTGTTCGATGAGCTGTTGAAAATAGAAGCACCTAGAGTCACTAAAAATAAAAACATGCGAGATGACATTTTTGCTCATGATAAATTGTTTGTCACTCTACCCTTATTGGAATCTGAAGAATAATTACGCCTAGCTTAGATATTCATTTAGCATTTCTGTCTCAATCATTTCAGTAATATTTCCTGATGTCAAACAAAGCAACATGCAAGCTGCTGGAATGCGCCGTTGCTGCGGAATAGGTCATTAAAATGTACATATGCTCGTAGGCAATGATGGTTAATTCCAACCTTACCGTAAGTATTTACTCAAGCTCACTAAGATAAGCTAAGCCTCGAGGCAGCTGAAGGATATAATGTGGCATATTTCAACTTACAAGCTATACTTTGTAAAATTTGCCTGGCTTGCTTAAGTTAAAAATCTTTGTTTCTTTTAAACAATATACCATTGTCTACAAAAACATCCTGATTGGGTTTACAAATATTCTGCTAATTTCGCTTTTTTTGGAAGCTTAAGTGTTCGGATGGGTCTAACGTGAGATTGCCAGGTTTTTAGTTACTAAAGACTTTCTTTATCCAGAATCACAATATTACTTTGCAATATGGGTTTTCCAGCCATGCTGATTAGCCCTAATACATGGGGAAATAGCAAATATGTAAATATTTTTTTACAGTATTAAGTAAAATTCAGCACAATTAAATTCTCCAATTTTGCAGGCAATTTTTAAAGGCATTTTGCTTTGGACAATTTCATGCAGGTTCGGCATGATAGTCAAATTGTTGTCATGTCTGTAACGCAGTGAAATATTTATCATTAGCATTGAGTAGAACTAAGAATGACTAACTTGCTGTGACTCAGGCAGTTTGCTAGGCGTACGTCCATAAAAATTGGTTGCAAACAAACATAAATGCTGATGGTGACAGCTATCTTATCGCAAAAGTTGTTATAAAATACTAAGAAAACATTTATCAAAAACAATTGCTTAGGAATTCACCAATGAATATTTCGCAATTGTTTCAATTAGTAATATTTTGGTGATTAACCTTTAACCTTGCATATGTAGGCTGACAAAGAACTTGTTGCAGAAGTGAAAAGATGTGAGAAAAAATTAAAGAACATTTAGTTCAGTGTTATCGTCTATTACAAGGCAAGTAACTAAGTCAGCTACTTGGTTGGATTGTAAATGCATGTAAAAATTCATCTATGAACTTACGGCTGTGCTCAAGATTGCAAATGCTCCATATGAATCATATGCCTCGTATAATTAATATTAACTTGAAAGAAGAATGTGCAAAACATTATGATAACACAATAAACTGCACGAGAGTAAAAGAAATCTAGTCTTGTATATGTTTATTTTGCTTAGTGCTTGTTTGAATATTAGCAAATTAATGACTGATTACCAAAAGTTTTACCTTTTTGTTAGATCGACTTTCTTTTGCTACTTTGCTTAAATGTACCTGACTATCTCTGTCGGATGACATGGTTTCTAACTTTGTATTAAAACAAAAGAAATATTGTTGGATATATTTTTGTTAGCGTAAACGAATATTGTTTATTTCATTTCAACAATGGATTTAAATGTTACTTTTATTCTAACATAAATTAGACTACCTTATTTTTGCTGCAAACAAATTGTTTATAATGTCTATTTTTGTGAAGCTTTCTTAAAATCAAGAAAGCTTACTAAATACATCTGGTAGTGAAAAAGCTTAGAAAATAAGCTTCGCGACTGAAAATCACTAAAAAATTCGCTGTTACGTATTTACGCAATATCTTTGTTTATTACTAAAGATCAGCAGCATACCTTTCAATTGGAGTTTCCTTGTCTTGTTGAATCGTCATTTCTTCAAATTCCCTAAAAGATTTATTTCGAAGTGCACTTATATATAATTTTATCATTTTCGTACTATTCTTTACGAAAGTCTTTAGCAGTTGTGAGCATGATAAAGATTTATAAAAGAAAAATCAGTGCAACAAGCTTTCCATATATAAACGCTGCGATAAAAATTGTTGTATGGGTTATATTACCGGAAAAAACTTGCAGCTAATAAGCGCATGAACTTCAGTTAAATGTTTAGTACGCAAAATTAAAATCCTCAAATAAATATCAGCAATAAGAATTTTAACTTGATTTTAGTGGCGTTATTGAAGAGATAAATCCTAAAGCTCAAACAATTTATATTGCAGAATTTTATCTTAAAGAAACCTTTCAACTGCTTTTTCCTGTTCCTCTTGAATAACATCTTCAACAAAATTCCTAAAATTATTTTTATAGAATTTGTTAATTTCTAATGGAATTAAGCAATCATAATTTTTTGTTGCTGGCTAGGATTTGTTGGTTTTTTGTTTTGTATAATTCATTCACAAATAAGACGAGAAAAAAACTAATAGAAATTCTTACAAGTTGCGATAATTTTGTTTAGTAGTAGCTCATTGTTTTGAACACACGCCGTTATTCATAGAAACAAAGATGAGCAAGAAACATTTTTATTCGATTTTTATCATTATCTGGATGAATGATATAATAAAGAAGAAAAACGTTGATATTACGAGGTCGTATATAAACATACGAATGTGTATCTTCCAGCTAGCTCCATTTTGTTAATTTTTTACTTTTAATTAACGGATATGAATAAAAACAAACCTTTTTACTGGATTTTCTTGATTGTTTTTTTCTATCATTTCATCAAGTTCCCAAACACTAAATTTAAGCTTTCCTAGAGACAAAGGTCCTGCTTTAATCCAACTTTCAATTATTAATTTTATATATTTGTGACTGATATCACTCATTTCTTTTTTCCAATCACGGTATGCTTTATTACAGTTGAAAGCCACAGAGTTAAAGTTTAATTTTTCATTATGTATAGAAAAAGCTTCACCAACGACAGTGTTGTCCATCTTCTCTCCAAAAGCACATTCATAAATAGCACCATGAACTTGGCCTTCTTTTCCTGGGTATTGACACTTTTTTACTTCTTCGGAGTCCGTGTTTAATATAACAATACAAACTTTTTCGCAACGTGTGCCATTTTTTGTTACCCAACTTGCAAGCCCACGGCATCCATACAAAACCAATCCACCATAGTTTCCACTTTTAAAGCCTGGTTTTCTAGACTTATAAATGTTGGATTTGGCAGAAATGTGAAAATATTCCAGATGGATTGTTTCATGGTAACTGTCGTGAAGTGACAAACATCCTTGGACTGGGACAGAAAAGCCACGTCCAAAAATACCACTGGCAGCCATTTTTGTTGCAGCAATATTATCTGGATTTGGACTCGTCGTAACTCTTAGCTTACCAGTCGCAGGGTGAAACTTAAGATGAATAAATTGGAAAAGGTATGAACTAAAAGCTGAATGAGAACGATCTCCCTTAGGTTGTCGATCGATTTAGTACGAGATTTACGATCGTGTTAGTTGATATTTATAAATAAATTCTTGATTGCATTGAAATCAGCACATTTTCTACATTAACACTTTTTTAAAAAAGGACATCTTCATCTCTTTTTTTTTCATTGCAGTCTTAAACAGGAATTGCAATTCTAAATGAAACTTAATGGACAAAAAATATGGCTAGCTTTTAACGAGATGAAAATGCAATTTAGGACTTTATTGTTGAATTTAAACAAATTTTACAACAAAAAATATCCGTAAAAATATAACAAATTTTTGTGTGTCTTAACTGGTCGTCTGGTATACTTCCTACTTGTTTCTTATAAAATTCTCTGAAAAGTGGAGTAGAGAAAACTTAAGAAAACTCTCACAGAAATATTATTGCTCTTAAACACTAATCCTGTCATTCTTTCTATAAGAAAACGTTTTAATGCACAATTAAATGTCGAAACAACTTCAGCCATAGTTTGTTAAGAATTTTTAAAAAATCTAACTGGTCAATAAATCCATTTAAAGAAAAGTATAGAACAGGGACTTATCCAAAAAATCTGTTTTATTTTGAGATGCTCAACATTTTCTTTGTTAAACAAATAGATAACATCTAACCGTTGTCTATACAGTATACATTTCATTTGTCATAATACTATAAAAGTGGCCACGAGTCACCAGGCTTAGTTTTTATAAAAAAAATCTCACCCAAGTGTCAATAGTTGTATAAACGACGGTTAAATGTCATCTATTTGTTTTAAAAGATAAAATCGAAAAATTCCCAAATTAAATGGTTAAACAGTTTTTTCTTTGTCCCGCAACACTTGGAACACTGAAAAGTCCTCAGTTTGCAAGTATCACGCATGATCAATACGATCGAAGAAATGGTATTGGCTAGCTTAATCACGCGATAAAATATAATTGGCTAACAAAATAAACGAGCAATGGCTGATCAATTTTGTAGAAATTTGGTTATCGAAGCAAAGTACAAATCAACGCTTAAAAACCGGGTGTTTCTTTTCTTTTTGCTCAAAATACGTCCACTGCTTTGAGTAAGCATTTTTGATTTCTTTATTTGCCTATTCACGGATAAATTCAGGTAAATATTCAAATAATATCGCCGTTCGTGTGTCATTTAAAAGCAAGCAATTTTCTGTGATGTCAATTTCGTAAGTCAGTTCACTTATAGATCATACCTCTCAACCAATGAAATTGCTCAAATTCTTCTGGTTATTATATAAAATTTCTTTGAACAATGTTATCACAACTTGGAGTAAATATGCGTCGCATAAAGTATTAAGAACTATTACAGCCAATATTTACAGCTTATACTACATTTAGCATGTTATGTAGATTTAGTGCCATGTAGATTGTAAAATAATTATATTTTACCAAATGAAATTTAATTGACAAGAAGAGAGAGCATCAATATAAGACAATGGCGACGAAAAAAAGAACGAAAAGACATGGATACATCATCAAGAAACGCTTAAATTACAGAGCAAAGAATCAGCCACCAAGGTCAACAACTACAACAATCATTAAATTATGTGAACATAAGACTTACTCGAAGCGGCCTACCGCCGTTTGCACCTTTCGATCATCATAAAGATCGATCAACAGTTTGACAACGATAGTGCAAATGGTGGGAAGTTTTAACAATCTTTTAATCCATCTTCGAGATTTCGATTCAAAGCTTAAAGGAGATTCATTTCTTACATTTGTTGGAGAAGAAACGAATGACATCTTAAACACTCAACGTTAAACTGAAGATGATTACGAAACAACCGTGGCCAAAGTAAAGGATAATTTCGAACCATCAAATAACACAGGCATGGCTATTTTTTAGTTTTGCAAAATAAAACAAGAATCAGGAAAATCCATATACAAATTCTATTGTCGGTAAATAGAACAAGCAGCATTTTGCGATTTCAGCGGTGAAGATTGCGAAATTAAGACAAATATTATACAAAAAACAACAGACTCGCAGCAACGAACGAAAGCATTACGAGAGAGTATGACACTAAGGGAGCTTTTTTAAGTAGATCTTTGCTAGTCAAACCTGAATTCAAGCATTCCTGTGATACAGATTGAGGCAAAGATTTTTATTACCGTGACTGAAATATTCAGCATTTTCTGTTTTTCAATAGTTGCATGAAAATAAGGAGTAATTGTAGGAAATGTTAGAATTTTCAGATAGCTCTATAGAAGTCAGCAGTTTCAATACATTTACCTCATTTTTATTGAGAAAATTAGTGACCCTGTGCTATAACGGCAATTTTATAAATCAATCTGATCAACATTATAATGAATCAATGATCCATATTGATACTCTTCCTTTACAACCTTGATCCTTTAAAAGCACAAAAATAAACCTCATCATGCAAATCCTTGCATAATACCTTTTTGTACTATAACAAATCGGCAAGCTCGTCGTTCAACTGACTTGACGACTCACTTAACATACCTTTTATACAAAGTCGAGTTTAATTCGCACAGACTAACTCCATCTGTCTTTACTCAAAAATGCACACTGATATTTAATGCTTTTGCGCATATCATTACAAAACATAGTAATAGGGATTTGTAAGATAGTCCAACTATTCTAAAAAAGTATAGTCTATCAAATCCAAAGTAAATAATTAGCAATAAAATTCACAACACTCGACTTTCAAATCAACGATATCTCCGGTCGCTAACACCGCAAATGCGTCATGGTATCATTGAAAAATAGAAAATATAATGCCAAAGTAGTCCTAAGCCCCCTGGTGTTTTACAACAAATGTGTCACGAGAGACGTAATGAATGTTTAAAATACGCTTTGGCCAATAAAATAAATCAATATAATCAGATGGTGCGAGATTTGTGCGAGTAACCGCGGCCTCTGCAAACAAAAATGCTTTTCAAATTATAACTTTCGATAAAACCGAACTGCGACTGGGACTTTGTAAAAAATGAAAAACGTAATTAGTCATCATTTTGGTTGCCTTAGTGCTCAAAATAAAAGAAATTTGTCAATGGAATTAATCATTTAAAGAATTGCGAAGTAAAGCTTGAAGTGTATCGTAATGTTACTCCAGTTGCACACGTGCAAGTCATATATCAAACGTGCAACACCTGATGAAGGTCCCACCAATCTATGCAACTTTCATAGCTGCTTGTTCTTCTGAGGAATAATTTCATGAAGAGATTCATGAGCTTATAAGTGATATTTCCAAGCTGCATACTAAAACATTTCTGACAACATGTCGCTTTGTTCGAAAGATATGTCCACTCACCTTTGTTTTCTTAAAAGCTGCTGCAAGCTTGCAGTCTAAATTTTTAACAATGAAGTTTCCACATGCACTTTAGCATAACAAGACAATGCTGTGTTTTCGGTTATATTGCGTCTGACAAAGAATTCGACCCCTTCAAAAAATCTTGAAGCAATCAGCAAAGCAATGCATCCTAAAAGAAGTTTCAAAGTTCGTTCTTTTCTAAGTTTAACAAATTATTGTTAACGATATGCTCCAAATTATAGTACCCTTACACAACTGTTAAGAGCACTAACCAAAAACAGCGTTTCTTTTAAGTGGACTGAACAACAACAATCATCTTATATTAAAGTTAAGGGAGCATGCAGCAAAGCCCCAGTATCAGCTAATAACGACCTACACGCTCCAACAAGACAAATGGTTGATGCCTCGCATTTGGGCACTTGGTGGTGCTGCAGCATATTCAGTATCGAAGATGTGTAGAAATGAGAGTTGTTCACACCATAACATCACATAGAATTCCAACTTAAATGGCTAGATTCATTATTTTTAATTAATAGTTATCTTATGGCGTTAAGCACCGATATTGCTAAATAATTCACATGAAAACAGTTCAAAATTAAACTCCAGATGCGGGTAATTATACGGCACACAGTAAGAAAATATTGGCTGCAGCCAAATGGACTGGTATATAGAGATTATTCACACTTCTTTAGCAGGCGCGAGAAATTGGAAAGACTCTATTCTTAGGTTGCTAATGAATTAAATCACCCACCACATGGAACAACAGGAAAGAAAAAAATTCTACTTTAATGAACCGAGGGCTACGAGCAAAACTCCAATTAAGTACTATATTTCAAAGAGCCGCAAAATAAGTCAAAAAGACAGATAAAGACTCCAAGATAAAGTCCAAAGCATTAGAAGATACTGTAATAAGAGCAACACCGATTGAATTAAACAACCAACTCAAGACCAACTGAATATTATCAGGACCAGGTCAAAAATTATGAACATCAAAAGTTTACGCATTGTGTAAAGAAATAATGATGAGCAGATTTTTTGAAGTAATTCATCGCATTTCAAGAAATTTAACAAACATTTTGAAGAAGATTTCAAATCCTTCCAGCGCCTAATTCAAAACTTGACCAAACACAACAAAGTAACCATAATACACCGGTTATTTGATTATGAATCAAAACATATGAGGCGCTAAATTGGACTGTATTCTAAACTTATAATAGAACATAACTTACTAAAATTATACATGCGTATAAAATTACGCGTAAAAGGACAATCGAAAAAAAGGAACAAAAAAAAAATTTAAACGAGTTACATTTTGCTGACAAAAACATGAAGGAGGAAAAAGAAAGAAGCTTCGTTTCTTGTCAATAAATACCATATACTAAAACTTTTATTGGCCTTGCTTTCTTGTCTTTATTTAGAAATTTCAGACCTTTGAGTTTGTTTTACCAACCTCTTTCATCTTTCATAGATTTGGGTCTGGTAAGCATAGTCACGATGGTTTTTTTCAAGGCAAACTTTATATACTTCGAGATAAATCAAAAAATATAACCGAAACTTGATGTAGGATATACTAAACTTTTCATATACGTTCGAAACTTCTCGTATCGTATCGTCAACAGTGGCGTAGCTAGCGGTCTGGCTGGTCGGGCCCAGCCCGACCAAATATTTTCCCAAAAATGAAAAATTTGTTTTCATTAAAATTGGATTTGCGAAAATTTTAAATTCTACCACTCTTT